AAAAAATAAAAAAATATCTTGATAGACGGGAACACCTGCGTATGGCTATTCCCCTCCGGTTCCCCGTGTTGCTGTGTTTACTATGGATGAATTTGCTATGGTTATAAGCATAGAAATCATTTCTAGCATGTTATAACTATTAAGTAACCATGGTATTAACAGCTACTTTTCTTTTTTGTGCGTTACGTTGGTACTCGTTGGCGTTATAACGTAACGTAACGCGTATTAAAAACGCAAGTTGCTTTCGTATTGAGCTGCTTACGTTGTAAAACTGTAATCTTTACTTTTATTGTAAAAGTTTCAACTATTTCTGTGTTAGTAAATATGCAACAAAATGTTCAAAGAATATTTTAAGTGCCTTAAGAGATGATTTATTAATTTTAAAACTGTAATAATTTTATAATGAAATAAATAATAAGTAGGGAAGTGCAGTGATAAGCAATAGTATAGATTGTACCGTTTTTACAGCATTTGATAAATTGAATAAAAATATTTTTACTTGAACTGTGTTTGGTTTATGAAGAATGTTTCTACTGATCAGTTTTACGGCGCAGGTTGATTGGTTGGTACATTGCGTGGAAATTATTTTATTCCTTTTAGTTCCTTGTGTTTTTTCGCTTGTACCTCAAAAGAAAAAAACGGAACTTATAGGATCACTTCATTGTCCGTCCGTCCGTCCATCAGTCTGTCAAAAACGTTTTTCTCGGGAACACATGAAAGTTTTAAGTTAAAATTAATATCAAATACAAAGGTCTAGTCCCTTGTAGCTCTAAAAAAATCAAGCTTCTAAGTCAACACAATAAATACTGCTATTTATGCTACAAATTTTTTTCTTAAAAAACGTTAACCCCACAGTAGGATTTTCTCATGTATCGTGGAGGCTGTTTACAAACATAAATTGCACAAGGACAAACATCCAGACAAACAAACATACAAAACAATTATTTCTAGGTCATACAAATACCTTGAAATAATACTAGTTTTTACGGAATTTATCGCGTATATTTTAACTTTTTAAATACCCGACGTTTCTAACGCTTTACAGCCAGTGTTGCCAGATGTCTTGAACCTTTTATCTGTATTAGACACTGCTAAAATCTGTATTAAATCTGTATGCTATTTAAACTTAAAATCTGTATTAAATCTGTATAATCTAATAAACAAAAATACAATAATTGATCATCAACATCATCATCGCTTTTTTTTTGAAAAACAAGGAATAACTACTAACGTGATAAGCAGATAAGGTTTGATTATCGTTATTAAATAAAAATATTTTTTATAGAATAAGGGTGACAAACGAGCACAGTCACCACACCACAGTCCACCGATAGTAAGTGGATGCTGTGGCCCATAGACATCTACATATATCCTCGCTTAAGAATTAAAACGCAGATACGTTGTCACGCCTGAGGACCAAGAGGGAATGCCTCATTTCCAGTAAAAAGGGGCTCCGGATTTCTACTTTCACCATACGAAACACAGCAGTATTAAGCTGGTATTTTACGCTGGTATTCTGTGAGAGCGTGGTCCTTCCCCGGTCGAGTGTCAGCTATTATGGTTGCAGTTCTGCAACCACAATATAGCTGCAACGTGACTCTACCACGTATAAAATACACACTATACACTATTTTTTATATAGCAAAATTGAAAACGTTAATTTAAGCAAACAACATATTAAAACTCAAACATTTGCCAAATGAACATATAATTACTTTATTATTTTCAGTCATACATATTTTATACACAGGGCGTTAGTGTAAACACCATTATATTTGAAAACAGTGGTTTGATTTTACTTATAGAACGTAAATTCAATGAAAAATAACAACATTATTTGTAGTAAAATCTCAATTTTTCCTTAATTCCTCAATTTTGCCTGTCCTAAGCCAGAATGAAAGTATGAAGGAAAAGTTACATAACAGGTTATGTGTACCTATTGTGTTTTTATTGGAATATAGTGTAGGTAGCTAGCGCGGGCGGTGATCTTTACAGTGATTACGTCACCCGGGCGCATAGGGTATCCATGAATTTACGGACGGTTTCGGACAGAAACCTCTTAAATTTTATGAAAGAAAATGGGTTTTTTTTAAAAATTCGGATAAATATTTTTATATTAAAGCCAACTACCTGTGGTTTTAGTGACAACGGTATTTACACTTACACCTTGTATACATATTTTGTAATACACTTGTAGTTACGTTGTGAAAAAATAAATTAACCATAAAGAATAGAATCATGAATGTGTGTAACGCGGTATCTAGTCACTTATTTTGCTTCATTCTATTTTAAGTTGAATATTATGGTAATCCAATCAATAGAGTTAGAAAACTCTGTATAAAAATCTGTACCCAGTGCTAATCTGTATCACACACCAAAAATCTGTATAAATACGGGGAAATCTGTATATATGGCAACACTGTTTACAGCACTCATGGTCACGGGCAGGACTGAGATGTTCAACGTCCATCTGTCATAGTTAACCGCGGTTACCATAGATTAAAATTTAACTTTTGTTCCGATCTATGCAGTATGAACTTATGGTATCTTGAAGTCTTGCAGTTGTATGCTTGGGTTGGGATTTAATTTTATTTATTATAGGATCCCAAGCAGATGGTAGCACCCAGCCATCTTCTCTATTGAAATTAGGATGTTTTTTGATTTCAATAGCCTCGCGAATCATCCTTGGAAGGAATCGGTGTTCTTTAGCGAGGATCTGCGGTCTATCAAATTTGATATAGTGACGGGGGCGATCCTGTACGTGTTCACAGACTGCAGACTTCCCGGAGCTGTGAACATGAACACGTACAGGATCGCCCCTGTCACTATATCAAAGTTGATAGACCGCAGATCCTCGCTAAAGAACACCGATTCCTTCCAAGGATGATTCGCGAGGCTATTGAAATCAAAAAACATCCTAATTTCAATAGAGAAGATGGCTGGGTGCTACTATCTGCTTGGGATCCTATAATAAATAAAATTAAATCCCAACCCAAGCATACAACTGCAAGACTTCAAGATACCATAAGTTCATACTGCATAGATCGGAACAAAAGTTAAATTTTAATCTATGGTAACCGCGGTTAACTATGACAGATGGACGTTGAACATCTCAGTCCTGCCCGTGACCATGAGTGCTGTAAAGCGTTCGAAACGTCGGGTATTTAAAAAGTTAAAATATACGCGATAAATTCCGTAAAAACTAGTATTATTTCAATGTGTAGTATTCGCGTAAATATAAGAAATCATTACATACAAATACCTGTTCCGTGCGGATTCGAACCCGTGGTCCACAGCGCAGTAACTCATTGCTAAGCCACGCTGGCGTTGATGCTTGAAATTAAATCAAAACCCATGAGATACTTTCCGTAGACGTAGAATTATTAAATACGGCTATAAGCAAGGTCGCACTGCACTAATAAAGGAAAAATTATCATAATCGTTAGTTTGTAGTTTTATCACCTAACAGAAATATGTTTTTGCGATTACAAACATTTGCAGTTGGAGAATTGACCGTGGCGTATATCGATGTATGGGAGAACATTTTTACCTTCAATCCTACCGCTTATGAACAAAATACCGTAGACAGAAAAACCTATAGACTAATGATTAGCGTGGCCTCGAGTGAGAAAGGACGATACCGTAGTTTTAGGTTATATAATAATCTTTATGACTTTTAAACATATTTAGATAAAAATTTACATTTTTTTTAAGAACTGAACTGAACAAGATTCACCAATCTTAAGCTCACAAAACACTTTTTTCTCACTTAAACCAACTTGTAAACTCCTTAGATTGCTACGAACTGTCAAAGTTGTTAGGCAAAGTGTAGTTTGCTAAATAAAAACCGGCACGGAGAAAGGGACAAACAATCACACCGCCCTGTCTCATTCCTATGCAAGACGTATGCATAAATCTATCTTTTTCGTGTGCGAATGCAAAAGAACTCTAAAAGAAGATACTCTGTCTACGCAAAATACGCTGTATGTATATAGGTCTTATTGCCTTTATATAATTAAAAGTTTGACTTTGTTTTGCTTGTCAGTGTTAATGACAAGTGGGAGTTAGCCGTAGACGGATTGTCGCTCCTGTTTTGTCGCCTGAATAATGGTTTGAAGTGGATTTTGATTCGTAAAAGTGATGCGATTTTGTGAATTAAGTGTCCGCGTGTGTGAACAACTAGAGAAAACGTCGAAACAAGTGCTTTGATGTCGATATAAACCTTAGGTTATTTTGATCGCTTAGGCGCCTTATGAACTTGGGTTGAGCTGTCTTCAAAATGTCCCAAGGGCTTCTCAATGTGACGCATCAGCATATTGTAAAGAAAAGAAAAAAAGCGCGGGAACCTTGAAACTGGACTGATGAATCTATATGGATTGAAACTTATAAGCTAAGATTATAATATAAAGAAGACTTGGCTTTGCCTTTGTGGTTTTTAAAATATGAAGAATTTAAGAAAATAAGACTTGGCTTCGGCCTTTATGGTTTTTGAAGAGATGGAAAGAAGAAAAATAAGACTTGGTTCCGGCCTTTATACTTCAAAATTCTATATATTCAAGATAAAAAAGGACAAGGCTGTATGGCTTACTTCCTTTGCCTGCTCTCTCCGGCGAATAATAAATACAAAAACAACAAATGACCAGTGTCAACTGTCAAACAGCAGATGCAGCTGATCAAGCACGATTGTGCGTTCACAAGTTATTTATAAATTGTTATTTTGTTATAAATTATTTAATTCTACAATAGGACAGTTGCTTGGCGAACGATCAAAACCGCCATTAAAATACAAGTTTTAAAGTTGTATGTATAGGAATAAAAAAGAAGAACAGTAGAACAGAAATTCTCTCGGTCGTAGATTTGGCGTAAGCGTAAATTAAAAGGACAAACTTTTATGATGTATTAACGTAAAGAATATGGATTTGGAAACACTCTGTGTAGTTTGCTTATGTAGCAATCGGAAAATGTTTCAAATTCCATTGGCCTTAGTAAATATTGCCAAAATGATATTACCTGAATTGGAAATACCGAGACTGTGTTGGGAGTGTTTAGCTTGTTTAAAACATTTATATATGTTAAGGCGGAAGGCATTAAATGCTAAAGAAATATTAGATAAACTAGCAGAGGTAAGAATGAATATTTTTATAGCCTCAGTTAATTTAATTTTGTGCTAACGAAGGTAATTCTTTGTATTACATTTATGGATCGCGACAACAGTGCCACCTACAGGGTCCAATTGTAAATCCTAAACTATTCTCGAATCAACTTAATCACACATACAAAATTTCATCAAAGCTTGTCCAACCATTTGGGAGCTAGTTACATACACACGGATGGAATTATATGGATATACTGAGTTGCGAATATATTTATATATATTTGCAACTCAGTAATATATTTTAGCAAAACTATAAATTGTACTGTAGAATAAATGAGCTACATTTCAGCCTTAATATTACACATGAAAATACATTTGCACTCTTCTGTAGTCCAGATACAAGCTGTTTCATTATTTTTTAATATTCAAGGGATGTACATTGGATGTCTCTCTACAAAGCAAAACTGATTTGGGAACATCTTACATATTTGCTGTCTCCATCTGTGATGATAATATAAATAATATTGAAGAAACTGAAGTTACCAATACTAACCTCTTCTTAGATAAAGGCTCCACACCAAAGAATTACGATATTAAAAAATTTAAAGAAGATAAAGAGTTTTATGAAAATGATTTGACTCAAGCATTCAAAAGATCTTCAAGTATTAATGTAAATACTATTAGAGATTCAAAACTTCTAGAGAAGGCTGAAACAAAAAATTTGAAGAAAAGTAAGCAAAAGAAAATAAAAGCTAAGAGAAAAAAGAAAATAACTTCCTATAAGCATTACACTTGCAGTGAATGCAAAGTTACATTTGAGTAAGTAATAATTTATAACAAAAATGTAAATGTACTGGGAATCTATTTAACAGGAAAATGTAGATTTTAGCCTCTCATACATCTACTGATAAACAGGTCTTCCTCAAGGAATAGTTTTATTAGTAAAACTCCTAAGTAAATAAAAATGTAAATATATATATATATATATATATATATATATATATATGTGATAGAGCCATGCTGCAGTTATAGTAGTAGTATAGTTGTAGCAGGAATGGGTCGGCTCGACCGAGGAAGGAGTGTAAAAAATACGAGTGTAAAATAGTAACTTAATGCTGCTGTGTTTCATATGGTGAGTGTAGAGAACCGGAGACCCTTTTTTACTGGAAACAAGGCATTTCATCTTAGTCCTCATTGGTGACAAGGCATCTGCATTTTGGTTCGTAATCGAGGATAGATGTAAATGTCTATGGGCCGCAGCAACCACTTACTATCTGGTGGACTGTGTGCTCATTTGTCACCGTATCCTATAAAAAAGTAGGACTCCTCCATAGATTGCTACGTAGGGAGGATTTACTCATAGTAGTCATTCTTGGTAGGCAAGTTGGCAAACATAGTTTTATATTATTTTGAGTTGTTATCCGGAAGATGCTGCTGCTCGTCTCCAGTTTAATTGTAACTCTGTTTTCCCAATGTTCTTCATCAATAGCTTCTATTTATTCTTATATGCATTTGTTTTATGCATTTTTGTGCCACTGCAACGCATAATGTCCTCCAGACTGAATCTTAATCACTGCGACCAGCCTCAATGGAGACTAGCCATCGGTGCAGGACAGGATTATAGTGCACAAGTGTATGCGCAAGCACAGGTGCACTCTCTATTCCTTCTTTCATAATCCGATGGGATGGTAAACTGACACAACCAGAAAGAGATCAGGCACAGGACCAATAGCTTTATGTACTTTCCGAGGCACGGGGTGAGACACCGCCAACTTCCTAACTCGGGGCAGCTACTGAGAATTTCTTAATGGAAAAATTCAATAACTGATTTGTTTGGCCCGACCCGGGATTCGAACCCGAAACTTCATGATCAGTACTCACACTACTGCAACCAATAGACTAACCAGGCAGTCTCGGTCAGCTCACCTTGGGAAGGAACACACTCTCAAATAATACCAGCATGAAGTAGCAGTTTATCACTGCTGTGTTTCGTATGTTGAGTGTAGAGAACCAGAGAACCTTTTTACTGGAAATGAGACATTCTATCTTAGCGCTCACATGTGACAAAGCATCTATACATTGATTTATAGTTGAGTAAAGATGTAGATGTCTATGAGCCACAGTAACTACTTACCAACACGTGGACTGTGTGCTAGCTTTTTACCCTTATCCTATAAAAAAAGTTTATAGTACATTACAAAAATAAAATCAAATAAATAGGATGTGTGTTTATAGTTATCACATAATTATGACTTGTAGTTTACCCTGCAGGCTTATGCTTAGCGACAGTCTTCACTGGCTCAATGCACTCCCATCGTTTTAATTCTTAAACTGCACTATGATTAATAGTTTAGTATTAGTGACGGCCCTGGCTTTACCTGGGTAGAATCTACTCATGATTTATAGACTTATAATAATAAAAAACTATAGCAGGATTTTTGGTTTCGTTTTTTAATATTCAAATTTTTTGGATAAAATAAAGCCTAGATTACTTCTATCATAGCTCTATATTCATTCGCCAGGTATCTTTACAATTGATTCTAAAGGTTAGCTCGGACAGTCAAAAAAGTTTAAAATGGTTATTAATGTCTTAATAGCTTGCAAATAAGACCTCAGATCATTATAAGGCGTTTTTTTTCTGTTGGATAAGGAGGACAAATGAGCACACAGTCCATCTGATGGTAAGTGGATGCTGTGGCCTGCAGACATCTACATTTAACCTTGATTAAGAATCAAAATGCAGATGCGTTGTCTTCAAAGAGGACTAAGATGGAATGCCTCGATTCCAGTAAAATGGGTCTCCAGTTCTCTACACCCGTCATACGAAACACAGCAGCATTAAGCTGCTATTTTACGCTCTTATTCTGTCAGAGCGTGATCCTGCCACGGCTGAACTGACCCATTCATGCTACAACCATAATAGCTGCAGCGTGACTAACACGCATGAAATTAGCATTTATTTCAATATTGCGAACTGATACCACAATTTCATTTATATGTGTAGATTATGTTTTTGGTCTTTTGAGCCAGATAAAAAAAAATTCAGGAAATTCCAAGTGCTCATTGGAAGTAATTGCTTCATATAAGTTTAAAAGCTGACCTTATTAACAGGTTAGCTGTCCAGTGCACCGAATATAGTACGCGCCGCTTGGGTTCGTCACGTCCGTGTACCGTAAACGGTACACGCGCCTCTACCTCTTTTATTGAGCTCTAACTTCATGAAGTTAGTTTGCTCTATTTGTCAGGACTTGTTAACAGAGAACCAATCAATAAAAAAAACCGTAAAACATTTAATTTTTTTTCTGTGTGGGTAATTGAAAACAAAATAAGAAATTGGCTTTTTTTGTGCAATGGAACTTCAAAAAACATTGGAGTCAATAAGTTTTTTATAACACCCAAAGCAACATCTTCATATGTTCCCTAACATTGCCAATGGGTTTTAAAAATGTGCGCTCCTATTGGATCCTAACAGTGTACTTGAGGATGATGAAGACAGGCTATTTTTTTTAAAAACTAGCCGTTCAAAGTGCAGTGGCTAAGTGAATAGTTATCTACTGTAAGTAAGAAAGGATAATTAGTTATTTTTGGGCTAACTATCCAAAATTAGCCATTTTAAATCAATTTATAAGAATATTATAAAAAATGATTTGGCATTGAGGTTATGAATTTTGGGGCAGTTAACATGTTAATCACAGCACACTATCAGTAAAAATATATTTATTTAACTAGAAGCAGAGGCAAATATGAGTATCACAGGCAAAAGCATCGTGGGAGAGTTCAATGCTCGATCTGTAGCCGAGATTTTTCAAGTCGGAGTGCTCTCACTACACACCGCAGTGTTGTGCACACTGCAGCTTCTCAGAGTGATGATGGGTAAGAAAAATACCATCACTATTCTATACCTATTTCATGCTTTGCCTTTTTTTATAGGGTTTTGTATAAAAGGGTGACAAGCGAGCACACAATCTACCTGATGGTAAGTGGTTGCTGTGGCCCATAGACATCTACATCTATCTTCGACTATGACTCAGTGTATAGATGCCAATGACTACACAGCACGAATAGACGCCTCATGCTAGGCAAACACTTTCTGTAATCAAAATGCAGATGCATTGTCAGCCTTGAGGACTAAGATGGAATGCTTATTTTCCAGTAAAAAGGGTCTCCGGTTCTCTACACTCACCATACAAAACACAGCAACATTAAGCTGCTATTTGACGCTGGTATTCTATGAGAGCGTGGTCCTTCCCCGGTCGAGCCACGTGCTACAAATATACAATTAATATAGCTGCAGCATGACTCTACCACGAAATAGCTATGCATGTAACACATTTCTCTTTCCCGTTCCAAAATTACCAGAAATGAGAGGCTTATGCCCAGAATAGAAATAAATGTAGGTAGGATGTTACTTAATAGGGAGTGCTCTGAGGAATTGTTCGTACTAATTTCAGCCGCACAATTTCACCATCGCTCATCGCGACAGAACTCGCGATACCATCCATACCATATGGATGACTGGCGGTCCACCAATGTGCCATTTAAAAGAAGTTTTTTCCTCGCACAACTTCTTTGTGGAATCGACTACCACCAGAGATTTTTCCGGACCGATATGACTTAGGAACCTTTAAGAAAAGAACTTATTCCTTTTTAAAAGGCCGGTAACGCATCTGCAAATCCCCTGGTGTTGCAGTTGTTCATGGGCAGCGGTAATCACGTATCATCAGGTGCTCGTTTGCCCCCTCTCCTCTTGATATTAGATTTAGGAAGGCAAGGTTCTATTGCCATTTCTTCTCCAGACAGAGGAATGTCGTGTCATTTTCAAACAGTGGTAAATGGATTAAAAACGTGTTGACTTTTGACAAGAGAAATTTTAATTTATTACATTAAAAATAAAAAATATCATTCCTTTTACCGTTTCACCTATCTAAAATCTGCTGCTGAACAAAGGCTTCCTCCATAGATTGCCTCATAGGATGGACATTTGCCATAGTTGCCACTCTTGGCAGGCGGGTGTGTTAGCAACTGCAGTATTTTAATTTTAAATAAAATAAAATATTTTTTAGCAATTATCAGAAAGCCGCTGCTGTGTATGTAGTGTTATTTTTTAATGTACTATTTATTATTAATAATTATACATTAGTACCGATCTTGATATTTTATCCTTGGTATGGCATTGATATTTTACAAAAAATAAAAACAAACATTTTGTATTATAAAATAAATTAGTTCAAATTATATCCTCCATCATATACTTTAAGAACGGCAGTAAAAAAATAAATTTAGTAGGCATCTTGGACCTTGTCACATGGCAGGGTTACAGGCTAGGGTAGATATGATTTGAATTTCTTTATTTCTTTAATTCATTTTTTTTGTAAAATATCAGTACCATAGGCTTCAACTCCGTTCACCTTTTACACCCAATTTTTTCAAGACGGTAAAAAAGGTCATCCAGGTGTAATCCATTAGAAGCCATTAGTTAGTTTATGTTTTAATTTAGTCGCCTGTTTTGACACATGCTAGCAACCACGAGCCCAAGTACATAATAATGGGTATGTTCCAAAATAGAACCCAGTGTACTGTCCAATGCAAATGACGTCATGAATCGACGCCATACTGGTGATTCGTTCCAAAACATAGGACAGTATACGACGTTATACATTTGCGTCATTTTGGAAAAGTGTTGGCGATTATTTTGTCATTTTGTGCTCCAAAAATCATTATATCCTCCTAATGGAGGTACCAGCAATTATTCCATAATTTTTTGTATTTGACTAAATAAAAACAAATTCTAGCGTGCTTCATTCAGCGTACACACATTTAAAAATTGTTTTAATATGGCCGGATATCCGACATAATATGGCGGCGGCACGCCGGTACAATACGGCGGCAATTGATGACGTCATTTGTATTCGGCCAGTATACTGAAAACGTTTCGGAACATACCCAATATTTTTTTTAAATAATATTATATTTTAAATAATATATATTAATAATATTAATTTTGTTAGCTTCAGAAATTACTGCAAGCCGTGTGCTAAATTCTTTAAAACAAGTTGCAGCTACCGGAAACATCTTCGAACATCCGTCCGCCATATCAATCCGGAATCTCTTCGGTAAGTTGATTATACATAGAGACAGGGGCATAAGTCCATAAGTTTTTAGTAACAGTCAACTAGCAACACAGGTTCGATGCCAGCCAACACCAATCCAATTGTGAACTGTAATTTTAAGCGTTGATTTAAAGTACACAGAGGTCTGTGCACAGAAGTGGGCTTATTTAAGTTGTAATGTTAGTACTTAAGTGTCTGCACTGCTATGTTCGGATCTGAAGGGTATAGAAAATCAGTATTATTACAGGCATTATATATATATATATATACAAAAAAAAAAAAAAAAAAAATAATATATTATACAACATGTAACATAATTAACGACTTTGAGAAAGTAGTTTGTTCAGAATCGTTTACTGAATCGATTCCTATCATTTTTAATATAGGTAATTTTTTATCCGAAAAATAATTAAAACTAGGTACGTAAGTTACAGCCACACTAAATCTGTACAGTCAAAACAAACTGAAATGAACCGTAACTTAAGGCAATAAGACTTTTAAGAGTGCAGTTTTATTTGTATTATTACTAATTCTGTCATTCAATAAAGATAAAGAAAAATGAACTTTATTTCAAGCACGTTAAAGTCTTTGCTTTCGTGGATTTGAACTGTGACCACAACATTCTTCCGGAATTTGATAAATCAGTGCATAAAAATGTTAAAAATTCAGTGTATGTATTATGATTATAACGTAATATACTAATTGGGGTGTCTGAGGGTGTGCGTTAATTACGTTACATATTGTATATACAGGGTTACTGGTAACTCGACGTATTCCCGCCAAGGCACGATAGTTGGGGTCATAACCTATCAAATGAACCATAAAATGCATTATGCAAATGTAGACCAATTTCGAGATATTTAGGTTTAATTATTTTTTTCAAAAATCCCAAAAGTCTGGTGTCAAAAATTTCTAAAAAAACTTACAGCTGTATTATTTTCATTTTATTTTTTTTACTTAATGAAAACCTGGATACTTATTTATCAATACTACAGTGTGCAAAAAGTCTCATCATTTTCGAAGTAACGCTACTAAAAGTACAACTTTTTCCAAACAGAAGATAAGTAATTAAAAATAAAAATGATTTTGTGAAAAATAATTGTATGTGACCAATTGTGCAAATCATGTTAAAAACATCCCTACTTATCTAGCTACCCAACGAGGTATCAATTTAGCTTGTAACTTAAATGGTACAGAAAAAACTTGAAAAAAAAAGGGGTCAGGTAGACAAGTTCCGAGTAGCAATGTTTTGGGTAATCCCAAACAATCGCTTCTCGGAACCTTATCAACAGCTGCGGGAATGCTCGTAAAAGATTGTGCGTTTGAACTTACGCTATTGTTTACATTTAGTGTGAAATTAGAAACAACGTGATGCTGGCAGGCCACGTGGCATACCGCGTGCCGAAAGATGAAGAAATTTTGAGTAAATTTCAAGAAGATCCAACCACTTTCACGAACATAGTTGCTCGTCGCTTAGGTGTATCGCAGTGGAAGGTCTGGTCTACTGTGCATACTGCGGGGCTTTATCCGTACCACTACACACCAGTGCATGTGATGGAAGAAGTAGATCCAGTTAGAAGATTGAATTTTTGTAGATTTATGTAGACGCAGATGCAGAAGATCCAATGTTTTTTAGAAAAATATTGTGGACTGATGAGTCGAAATTCGATCAAGACGGTATTACAAATTACCATAATTTACATTTTTGGGCTCCAAAAAAGCAAAGATATCCTGGAAAAAGAGACCTTCTAAATCACAAAGAAGATTTTCACTAAATGTTTGGATGGGGATTATTAACGACAATTTAATTGGGCCTTATTTTCTGCCAAACTATTTAAACGGCGAAAATTATGAAACATTTTTAAGGGAGGATTTATCCGGATTGTTACACGATGTTCCTCTCGCCACAAAGCAAAACATGTGGTATCAACATGATGGGTGTCCTGCGCACTGTCATGTAACTGTGCGACGATGGCTGGACGAAAATTATCGACATCGGTGGATTGGCAGAGGAGGACCAATTCCATGGCCAGCAAGGAGTCCTGACATAACACCGATGGATTATTATGTCTGGGGGCACATAAAGAGCATCGTGTACTGCGACAAAATGCCAGTGCCGACCCTTGATCAACTGAGAGACCGCATTATCAACGCGACAAACGACATAAGACGAACATTAACCTCAAACGTTATTAAAAGCGAATTAAGAAAACGAAAGAATGTGTGTCTGTATACGGAATAGGGGCTCCCATATTGAGCAAAATTTGTAAATCGTGTTAAAATAAATAAAGCTAATTTCAATCAAGTGCTCTCAGACGAAATAAAAACTCAAGACAGAGCCCCGCCATACAACGCACTGAGGCAGGTAAAAACTACGCCTCGCCTCGTACATACACAGTTTCACGCACACAAATATAACGAAACTACGCCTTAGCTTCTCATTCGAGCTATTCCAGCGCACGGAGTGTCACGTTATAATAATTCCCAATTTTTAAAGAAAAAATGCCGAATTGTGTTGTGAAAGGTTGTAAAAATCAATCTTCTAGAAATAAAAAACAGGATGGAATCACATTTCATACGTAAGTAAACATGAAAATCCAAATTTTTAATTAATCATTTTTATTATTTATTGTGATAGCTTGGAACATAAAACGTCGACAAGTGTTGCCACTAGTGAGCGTCACAGTAGTCCCATTTATTCGGTAAGTTATTAATGTGACGTGAATCTTAATGTAATTCTATTTACTGTATTTCTATTTTACTTATAATATTTATAAAATTATTGTAAGTGTAAATACGCATTATTTTTTTGTTTTCCATATTTTATCATCACTTCAAAAATCTATATTTTTAAGGTTCCCCATCCGAAATAAAGCCATTAAAGAGAAGTGGATAGAAGTGATTCGAGTTAGCCGGAATGAGCCTTCGTGGAATCCAACGGTGCGCAGCGTAGTTTGTTCGACACATTTTGCAGATGACGATTTTTATTGCACAAATAAAGGACTTCGTCGTGTGGTACGAAACGGATATCCAAAGTTTATTTCCAATGTTTCTATAATATTATATTTAGTGTTATATAAAAATTAAATTTAAAAATGTCGTTTACTATCGATATTTTTCCATGCATTGACAAGTAATAACAGTGTTTTTAGTGAAATAAGTAGGCTATCATAATAATATCAACCGTATTCACTACGTGTCGCAAATATCAAACCAACCTCCTAACGTCATAAGGATTTGCATCATTTACAAATTATTCATTATAGATTATTTATTATAGATTATTTATTTCATGTTTAGCATCTACCTGCTGCACCAAACCCATCAGCAAATATGGATCTGAGTGAACCTACTACTATATATGCTGTAAGTATTTTTACCTGTTTCTTATTTCTGCGCCTTCACAAGCTGTAAATAAAAGTAAAAGTTAATTGTTAAATATGTATACGTTCTTATATGTTTATGTAGTTACCTATCCGTTTCTTCTTTCAGCACGTTCCAGCTACACCCATTAAATCAATTGATGTGGATCTGATACAGCCCTGTTCTTCACGGGCTGTAAGTAAAAATAAAACTTAAATGTTCAATGTTCTTATATGTTTAAGTAGTTACTTACCCTTTCCCTTTTTTAGCACGTTTCAGCGATACCGGTCTTGTCGTCGACGCCTATACCAAGTATATAAGAAAGCGAATCAATTTTCGACACACCCAGGAAACACAAATTGAGACAGCGTATTTTTCGCCTAAAAAACAAACAAGAAAAAATTAAAAAAAAAAATTAAAAACTTAAATCAAAAAGTGAGGCGACTAAAAGAAAGAAATAAGTCGTTGAAGGAAATATTATAAAATTTAAAAAACCAAAATTATGTAGACACTGACTTATACAATTCACTTAATGGAAATATTGCTGCTGTTGACATATTTAATGCCTTAAACAGGAAAAAGTTAAAAAAAAACATTAAATATACACCTGCAATGAAAAAGTTTTGTTTAACGTTGAACTATTTCTCGCCAAAAGCATATCAGTACGTTAGGTTCACATTTAATACCTGTCTTCCACACCCAAAAACCCTAGCCAAATGGTACGGACACATAAAAGGTGAACCGGGATTTACGGAGGAAGCTTTTCAAGCACTTAAAGCAAAGTCACGAGTTAGTGAACACCGACCAATTTGTAGTCTGGTGTTTGATGAAGTATCCATTCGATCTCAAAAAATCTGGGATGGCAAAAAATACATTGGATTTGTTGATATAGGAACTGGCGTAGAGGAGACGGTAATAAATCGTTTTAATATTTTAAAACGATTTATTGGTACTGACAACGTTTTTTCTAAATTGGAGACTGAGCACAATTATGCTGGTCAAATGCATAAAATAAGCTTAATAAGATGCATAATTGAAAAATATTTATCAATTCGTTTCCACCATATTTCAAAATTGGAAACAATTTCTAAAATGGTGGACAGTAAACGCCAATATTTCAAAAAATTGACTCAACAAAAAGGTTATTAAAATAAAAACAATGTTTCTTTCATTTTACTATTGTTTTATTTTTCCCCTTCTTAGTCGAAATAAACATACTTACATACTACTTCTTAAAGTGAGGTATACAATTGAAAAAATTGCCAACTTATCTTTTTACTTATCCATTCATTCTGATAGTACTTATTAGGGTAATAATTTTTTACTGCACGGCAACACTCGCTTAGTGCACACATGTTTACCAAACCGACCTCACTTCTTTGTCGACAGCGCTCCGTCTTGAGTTTTTATTTCGTCTGAGCAAGTGCTTTGTTTCATTTCCTTAATTAATATTGGTTAAAAATAAAACACAAATTCCTTTGTCTGCTTAGAACTCGACTACCTGACCTCATTCTTTAAATTTTTTTTCTGTTTCTACATAAGCAAACTACAAAGTTGATACTTCATTAGGTAGCTAGATAAATAGGGATGTTTTTAACATGATTTGCACAATTGATCACATACAATTATTTTTCACAAAATCATTTTTATTTTCAATTACTTATCTTCTGTTTGGAAAAAGTTGTACTTTTAGTAGCGTTACTTCGAAAATGATGAGACTTTTTGCACACTGTAGTATTGATAAATAAGTATCCAGGTTTTCATTAAGTAAATAAAATTAAATGAAAATAATACAGCTGTAAGTTTTTTTTTAGAAATTTTTGACACCAGACTTTTGGGATTTTTGAAAAAAATAATTAAACTAAATATCTCGAAATTGGTCTACATTTGCATAATGCATTTTATGGTTCATTTGATAGGTTATGACCCCAACTATCACGCCTTGGCGGGAATACGTCGAGTTACCAGTAACCCTATCCTCAGATGCGACGGTGTATCTCTACCTTTTTTATATGAAGTTAGTTGCAGATGACTATAGACATACTATTACTATTATACGACGTATTTCATATGTGGTAGAGCCACGTTGCAACTATATTATGGTTGTAGCGTGAATGGGTCGTCTCGACCGGGGAAGGACCACGCTCTCACTGAATACCAGCGTAAAACAGCAGCTTAATACTGTTGTGTTTCGTATGGTGAGTGTAGAGATTCGGAGACCCTTTTTTATTGGAAAAGAGGGGTTCCATCTTAGTCCTCAGGGGTGACAAACGCATCTGCGCTTTGATTTTTAATCGAGGATAGATGTAGATGTCTACGGGCCACAGCATCCACTTACCATCAGATGGACTGTGTGCTCGTTTGTATCCCTTATTTTATATTTAAAAAAACTATACCATCTGTAGACTACAGGCAGGTGGACTACCGGTTCTTGTCTCTATAAAAGAAATATAATGCAGTGAAGGAGTTATTCGCACTAGCAAACATTTCCAACAGAGTTACACAATCATATTGCTGTTCGAAGAACCGGCAACTGATGGGGGAAAAAGGTTCTCTAGTGGCAACCTCATACATGTAGGCGAAGTGGGCAACCCCTCACTATATAGAGTGACGACTTGGTAAGACGTGCAGGAAGTTGATGGATGCAGGTGGCTCAGGACCGTGCTTTGTGAGATTCCTTGATGGAGGCCTGTGTTTAGCTGTGGACTTGTACTGTAGTCAATTTGTATATCTGTTTTACAGGAAGAGCGCGAAGTAAGAACGGCAAACAATTCTTCACATGATTTTTCCATGAGTCAATCAATCGCAATCTTTACTTCTTCTTTTTTTTCTAACAACATAATATAAACACTCACGCCATTGGCATTCATTTGGCCCGATCCGGACACCTCTTTCGCCTCTAATAACTATATAAAATATCAGGGGAACGTCCATAGTATTTGCCGTAGATAGCCGTTTGACCATCAATCAATCTATCTTAATACCTAGCCTCTCAACCCCCTAGCGGTCTCATGAGACCGCGGCCATATTCCGTCAAATCCCTAGCTGTCTTATGAGGTCGCACCCACCCACAGCACTTTTCTATGAAGAAGTTTGGCATTATATAATCAATATGAAATACTCTATCCTCTAGTGCAATAAAAAAACTGTTATCCTATGAATATTTATTTTCGTTTTATTTATTTTCGCGTGAATGTTATTGTGTTGATTTTTGGATTTTTCTAGTGTTTATTAGTGTTTTGTAGTAGTAGTATTTACTATAGTGTTTTATTATCAAATTGTACTGAAAGTTTTTGTGTGAATATAATTTATCTTTTTACGTAAATAATTTCGAGTAATACTTATATATTGAAATAATTGTGATTTTCACGCCGCCGACATTCGCTTGGTATGTTTTTTATCAATATACAATAAAATCTTTTTGTAATGAAGTAAAACCTGACTTTCTTTTAGACCACAAGATAGAAAATAAGAGATAGAATTTTGTATAGATTTTATAATGCCAAACTTCTTCATAGAAAAGTAGTCTCTAAATATAAGTTTTAAAGGTTTTAAGTGCTGTGGGTGGGTGCGGTCGCATGCGACCGCTTGGGATATGCCGGGTGCATGCGACTGCATGTGATTTTTATGGCGCTTGAAGGGCTAGGGGTGACAAAGCATCTTGCCAGTGGGTTCCATGCTTTAGATTCGTGCCGCTAACTGTACGCTAGTACCATTTCTTTTACAGTTTCTCATGCCAAGCTTGCGACAAGCGCTTTGTTCGCTCAAAGGAGCGCGATGAACACCACGAGCGTGTTCATTTGAAACGCAACCGGCTGCAGTGTGTGCGTTGCTCGCGCCAGTACTGCAGCGTGCGCGCACTTCGCTCGCATGTGAGGACACGGCATACTGCTACCGTTGCGAAAAGGGATTTCGTTTGCGAGATTTGCGGTGTTAGTTTTAAGGTATAGGTATAGCCTATATATGTTTTATTGCTCGGCACTGGGTACTTGGACTAATACGTGGTAGAGCCACGCTGCTGCTATATTAGTTGTAGCAGGAATGAGTCGGCTCGACCTGGGTAGAACCACCCAAAAGCATCTCATAGAATAGCAGCTTAATGCTGATGCGTTTTTATGGTGAGTGTAAAGAAATGGAAATCCTTTTTACTGGATACGAGGCATTTCATCGTAGTCCTCGGGGGTAAAAATGCATCTGTAATTCGATTCTAAATCGAGGATAGATGTAGATGTCTGGGCCACAGCATCCACTTACCATCGGGTGAACTGTGTGCTCGTTTAACACGCTCATTAAAAATATCTAAAATCGCTTCAAAGCACGGTAGAGATCGCCGCCTTGCTTACTAGGATTTTACGGTTGACTCCTTAAACTTTTTTTTTAATTTATTACTCCTCAGGGGTTAGTCGTATATAAATTTAATGAAAAAAATGCATACGTTTGGATAAAAAAAAGGATTAAGGTTTTAATGTAAATATTTAGATGAAATTCCTGTTTGTTGTTTGTTTGTGAACTTATGATAATCTTAAAACAACTGACAATAGTAAAAAAATACAAAATTTGACATACACAATGTTCAATAACTTTATTAAACTAAGTTTATGTAAAAAGGGTTATTATAATATTAAGGAATTTATGGATGATAATAACCCCTGGGAATTTATTTCATAACCATCAAACACGCGATTAATGAACATTTTTTACCCGACTGGCCCAAAAGGAGGGTAATGTGTTTCGATTGTATATACAGTGGTGGTCATATAATTAAGAACGCTGATATAAAGGGAAGATTTTTTCAAACTAAAACACAAAACTAATGGCATGCAATTTTTTTATTTCTCTCGATATCGTAAAACTTTTCCATATTAACACTGTAGTTATTGATACACATGATTAGCTAGAAATAAATAAGAGTGTTTCCATTTACTGGCTGGTCACGTAATTAAGAACGCTAAATAATGTATACCTATATTCAAATTTAAATAGAGGACACTCAGTTGATTTGTTACTGTTTGTATAATTTTGGCGCCATTTAGTGCTGTAAAAGATTGAAAGTGATTGCTTCTTAGGAAAAAACAATGGGAAAAAATAAAAGTTATGATAAATCTACAAGGGAAGTAATAATAAAACTTCGCCGGAAGAATTGGTCTCATAAAAAGATAGCCGACCAACTGCAATGTTCAAAAACGATGGTTTTCCACGCTGTAAAGCATTTTGCTACGTATCAAAATACTTCGAATGTTCCACGTGTACCTAAACAGAGAAAAACAACTCCTCGAGATGACCGAAACATCGTTCGTCGGCAAAACAAAATCCTTTTAAAGGGTCCAATGAGCTGAGAAAATAATATTTTGGTAAAAACAGCCCTTCAGCAATGTCAGCACGCACTATTCGAAGACGTTTGGTAGAAGAAAAATTGCACGGTAGGATAGCAAGAAAGGTACCCATGTTGAAACTTTGCCACAGGCAAGCCCGGCTTGCATTTGCGAGAAAGTATGGAAACTGGACTGTGCGACAGTGGAAAAATGTACTTTTTCTGACGAGACGAAAATAAACAGAGTATGTTCTGATAGAAAACGATATGTACGACGTCCCCCGAATACAGCATTCAACCCTAAGTACACGACAGTTACATTAAAGCACGGTGGTGGAAATGTGAAAATCTGGGGGGTGCTTTTCTGGACATGGTGTTGGACCTGTAAAGTTGATGAAGGTAACATCAGTTCCAATGTAAAAATATACTGGAAGAAACAACGTTACCTTATGCTGACGGCGTTCTACCGGTTATTTGGACGTTTCAGCATGACAATGATCCAAAGCACACTGCAAGCACCGTAAAGAAATTTCTTAGAGCGCAATCAGTTTCTGTCTTAGACTGGCTAGCTAACAGCCCAGATCTAAGCCCAATAGAGAATCTGTGGCTCGAAGTAAAGAAAAAGGTTTCAAATACACGGTGTGGGAATTTAAGAGAACTGTATGACGTTTTTTTAGAAGAATGGAACTCTATTTCTCTTGCGAAATGTCAAAAATTAATAGAGTCAATGCCTCGCCGGTGTAAAGCTGTAATTAAAAGCCATGGATATGCTATTGACTATTAATTTTAGTTAAAAATGTATTAAATTGCTTTTTAAATTTTCCGCGCTACATATTATTGTGATTTTATAAATATAAGTGCCATACAAAACAATTTCCGAGCAGTTTAATAAATCGTTCTTAATTATTTGTCCAGTTTCAGTTTTATTTGAATGAGTTCCTTTGCTAAAATAAATAAAATGTGAAAAAAAAAGTTAGCGATCTTATTCTTTATTCCTAAGCCACGTTGCTCTATTAATGTGGCTATTTTATAACATAACTAGTAGCTTCTCAGAAGGTGCACATCTCTGTGTACATGATTTAAATATAAAACGCATTAAATATACTTACTTATTTCCGTCTGGACTGGTCGGTACGTTGTTATAATTGTATGCTTTGCATGTCAGAAACGTTTTCTACACGTTAGTCATGCTACAGCTATATTATGGTTGCAGCACGAATAGGTGAGCTCAACCGAGGAAGGACCACGCTCTCACAGAATACCAGCGTGATATAGTAGTCTAATGCTGCTGTATTTAGTACGGTGAGTAAGTCAACCAGAGACCCTTTTTTGGAACCGGTGACAATGTATTCTAAATTTTGATTCTTAATCGAGGAAAGATTTAGATGTCTATAGTCCACTTACAATCCGGTGGACAGAGTACTCGTTTTCCACTCCTATTCTATAAGAAAGAAAAATTGTCCAATCGTTGAGTGAAATATCAACAAAAAAAGGATTGTCTCTTGATGATCTATAGTGATAGGTTTTTGGGTTTTCTCTTCCATCTATTTTGTAGTGGCATATTTATCTTATTGTAATTATCGGTCAGATAATAGTTTTAAAATATCCACAGAAGGATTTTCATGCCTGACTGATTGATACCCGCAATGTGGGCAGATTTTTTCTATGTCCACTGCTCAGCTGAGAATGTTTGTATATAGGAATTACATTAATGTAATATTTGAAAGTAGCCAAATTTATTTTTTGTTTTTCCCCAGACGGCGCAAGTGCTAAAAGGCCATCAGCGTATTCACACCAAAGAAAAGGCAACAATAGAAGAAAAAGATGCAAATAAAAATTCTTAAAAGAATTAAAATAAATATGTATAATGTAAAACATAAAGTTTTAGTGTTTTAATTTTGCTATTTTATATCAAATAGACCATATTTTGTTGTTCTTAACCTTTTGAGCGCCACGCCAAAAACTCACTACCGTGTCCTGTACGCCAAAGCGAAAAGTAAACAAAAATACCTACGAAAAAAACAGTGCTGCCAAGAGTTGATATATCGAAAACACAAAATAACTTGTTTTTGTTGGTTTTTTATACAATAAATGAGTCTTTATAATCGGGTATGTTTTATTTAATCTTGTGCTGTCTTCCACTCTTTTTTATATATGTACTTTGTACATAAATAAAAAACAAACAATAACAATAAAATAGTAGTAAACCACAACACTACTCTCCGTCGTGATGACGTCACTGTCACGACTGGACGACAACGGCGTAGCTGACCTTTCCTTTTGAAACTTTCTTAGAGATGTAGCCGTGTCGCACGTTGTGTATCGATTTCAAAATCGATGTAACCAAAATATACAGACATCTATTCAAAATATTTTATGGCAAGGCGTAGGCCAAGTGAATCACAGAAGAAAAGTCTTACGCTCTTATGATAAAGGGGGTTTCATATGATACTGATGTTGCTAAATGATTTTGAGATTGAGAAAGAAAATCGCACAACACAAAATGAAAATTGCTCTTCATACCTTAAGTAAAGAAAACACATTTATTATTTGTAATTTTATATTATTAAAATAGAAAAGGTACGTAATTATTCACTAATCAACAACTGTATATAGGTAATTATTCGCACTAGAAAAATCAGTCTTATAATATTAAAATCTTGGTCATGGAATAAAAAAATCAGTACTTATTACAGAAATCAACAAAGGGTACATAATTATTCAACAATTGTAAATAATTATTTGCACTAGGTCTAGTCATAAAATATTAAAATCTTGGTCTTTAACTCAATCAGTACTTAATATAGAAAACAACAATTAAAAATAATTAATAAATTATAGGTAATATTAGTCTTAAAATAATAAAAATCTTATGGAATAATAAAACATAAATGTTTAGCTGGCCAAAGCAAATTTTCTAACGTGGTAGAGCCATGCTGCAGTTATATTACGGGAGTTAGTAGTTGTAGCACGAATGGGTCGGCTCAACCGGGGAAGAACCACGCTCTCACGGAATACCGGCGTCAAATAGTAGCTTAATGCTGCTGTGTTTCGTATGGTGAGTGTAGAGAACCGGAGACCCTTTTTCTGGAAACGAGGCATTCCATCTAAGTCCGGGTGAGAACGCATCTGCATTTTGATTCTTAATCGAGGATAGATGTAAATGTCTATGGGCCACAGCAACCACTTGCCATCCGGTGGACTGTGTGCTCGTTTATTCACCCTATTCTATAAAAAAGAAATTAACCGTAAAAAGACTATAAAGTGTATTCCAAACTCATTGAGGTAGAGTTAATCGAAAACGAAAAACTTTGGTTTCACGATAATTTTAAATTTCCGAAAATTCATCATCGTCGACGCTTTCCAAAATCCGAATGAGTTCTGAGGAATCGTTCATGTTGCACTGCACTAATTTTCCCGCTAATCGGTTATGACGTCATAGTGTGTGTCTATACTTGACCACGGCGCCAGTGAACTGATTTTCGATGTCGCGCTAAGGATGCGCCAGAGTTGAGATATTAGATTTATTATGCGAAGATAATTTGTTATTTTTTTTTAAATTCATGTAGCTAATTATAGTTTTATATTTCTACTTTGTTTTATTTAAATATCAATAATAATAGAAAAAACGTTTGAGCTTAATTTTGAATAGTTTTCAATAAATTTATGGCTAACGCATTACAACACTAGCGGTCTAACATAGACGACTTTGGCGTGCTGGACATAGTATTTGTTAGATAAAAATGCATTTTGTCAATGTGTTTAGTACTTGTGGCTCTAGAAGACTTGTTTTTTATACTCACATGTTGCTGGGTTATACTTTTTTGAGGGGTGTAGAATTAAAATACCAGTAATAGTTTTCCAATGTCTATATTTCATATTTTTGTGGGCCGGGTTTTTTGTCATCTATAGACGTGTTGCAGGGAGGTGCTGGTCACGTATAGACCATATTTTGTTGTTCTTAAAGGAAATTATATGAGCACTAACTGTGCATAGCATGATATCATCAGTACAGCCCTTCACAAGTCCACTGCTGAACTTAAGCCTCCCCCAAGGTATGCTTATGTATGTTTTATCTATAATCGACTTCGATATACCAACAGTCAGTGGCACTGCTGAAGGGACTGTAGCACTGCCCAAACTAACGAAACCAGAGGCTTTCTCATAGTCCACATATGCAAGATAAAATGGCAGATTGTACTCTTCGACATTCTGAACAATTTGTCGAAGGTATTATGTTGTCTATGGTACTTAAGCCTTTTCGGAAATCGGTTTGTTCGGAAGGCTTTAAGTCGTGAAGTCTGCGTGCGAGACGATTCGACTCTCAAAACACCACGTAGACGTGGTAACGTAAGGCCTTTTTTAATCTTTGAGATGAGAGTTTTTAGAAGCTAATTTGACCTTAACATCCAAATAGCTCCAGAAATGTATTTCACTCGACATGTTAACGCCGAGGCCGGTTGTTAATCTGTATTAGATTGTGTGAGTATTAATAAACAAATGCTCAATAACATAACAATCAGACTGGGCACCCACGTACCAGCACCTAACTTTTCAAAGCAATCAACGGAGAGCGACTGGAATCGTCAACAACCAAGTCCTTTCCTATCGACTTGACACATCTCTGCATTTTCTATCATATATACTACAGAGAGTCATCTTTTTCGTCGTCATTCTTTAAATTAAATGCCACTGCTGAATATATCCTTTTCGTGGTAGAGCCATACAGCAGCTATATTAGTAGTATAGTTGTAACACGAATGGTTCGGCTCGACTGGGGAAGGACCCGTTCACACAGAACACCAGCGTAAAATAGTGGTTTATTTCTGCTCGCTTACCTCTCCATAGCTTAATGACTGCCTACTGCTGTGTTTCGTGTGGTGAGTGTAGAGATACGGACATCCTTTTTTACTGGAAAGGCATTCAATGGGCCACAACAACCACTTACCATCAGGTGGGACTGTGTGCTCGTTTGTCACCCTATAGATTGCCTTATTGGAATTTTCCACAGTTACCACTCTTTAGTTTTTTTTAATTACTTTAAGTTGTTATCTATGATATATATATCTAGGAAAATTCTGCCGCCCATCAACTGTTTCAGATTCACTCTGTCGCCTTCTACGACACTCACGGGACGAAATAGAGCAGTGGATATTGTTATACCGCTACTTGATGGTATACGGTAAAACAAGGAATTGTTTGGATTAATTCCAGTAGCTAAATTCAAGCAGTACACACATTGAACCATTATTTTTTTTTTATTAGAGAAAAGAGCGTAATCCCTTCTAAATGTTCGGTGTTGCATTACACACCATCAGGTGTACCGTATACTCGTTTCCCGCATTGAGTTTATTCTATAAAAAATATCGCATATCTACCTTAAAAAAAAACTTCACACTGTTTGTTGGTGTAGTCATTTTTGTAACCTGATTTTTAATTTTTTTTTGGCACACTGACGGCCGAAGCATTTAGCGGTATTACAGAGATCCATCGTTATTTTTGGTGATGTTGCTTTAGCTTGCAGAAGAAATGTGAAGTACTGATATTTTTTAAACTACCGGTGAATAATCGGTTTTCGCATTAACCCTTCAAACTCTAAGCGGTCGAATTCGAACGCGGCGCTATTCCGTCAAAACTCAAGCGGTCGGATCCGACCGCGACACCCACAGTATTTTAAACCATTAACACTTATATTTAGAGACTACTTTTCTATGAAGAAGTTAAGCATTATAGAATCAATATGAAATTTACTATAGGTACTCTAGTGCAATAAAAACAGTCATACTATGGATATTTATTAATAATCTACGTTCATTTCATACGCCATTTTCGTGTGAATGTTAGTGTCGATTTTTGAATTTTTCTAGTGTTTTAGTATAGTGTTTTATAATAAAATTGTAATGAAAGTTTTTGTGTGAGTATAATTTATCTTTTTACATAAATAATTTCGAGTAATATATATTGAAATAATTGTGATTTTCACGCTGCCGACATACGCTTGGTATGTTTTGTTTTTGTTATCAAAATTTAGTCTTTTTGTAATGAAGTAAAACCTGACTACAGAGAATTTTGTATATATTTTATAATGCCAAACTTCTTCATAGAAAAGTAGTCTCTAAATATAAGTATTAATGGTTTAAAGAGCTGTGGGTGGGTGCGGTCCCATGCGACCGCTCGGAATTTGACGAACACATGCGACTGCATGGGAATTTTAAGGGGACTGCGGGGTTAAACGATATTTACCCGTTATTTTTTAACCGGAACACACCTTAAAACCTTTGTATAGTCCTGTGGTGACTACACAGGACTAAAGACTTCGTACGAAATGGGCCTCAAGTATCCCATGGTCTGTAGTACATTTTATCATCAAATTGACTAAAAGTTCATTTATTCCTGTAATATAAACTAATAGTTAAACAAACGTGTCATCTTCGTAGCATTCTAATCCAGGGATGATCGATATTAGAAAAACTTTGATGTTCAAATAAAGTTAATATCGATATAAAGGAATCGATGTACGATAAATATCCTCGATGTTTAGACATCGATATTTTCTTGCATTTAAATCGATGTTTTAGGTGGCAAAATAAGCAACCTAATATTATTTATTTAATGTTTATTACGTTTACCACAAAAAATATGTTACTCAGCTATTTTTTGGGTAAACATAGGTCTAAAAAACATTTCCGAAGCTGTCGAAGTCGCTGTGCAGCAAAAGTGTTTAATGGCTTCTTACCTCTACTTTGGATAGGCGAATACTATTACTTGCTGCGGAAGTAATGGATTCCAATCGCCTAATTCCGATATTATTCACATAAGATCGATGTTTAATGGGTAAACTTTGATCTTATCTATCATCGACGTATGTCGTCGTTTAAATCATTAGAAGTATATGGCTAGTGAGGCCATTGTCTTAATTTGATTTAAAAAAAAAACAAGTTATATTATTATTTTTTATTTATAAACAAATTCTCAAGTACCCTATATAAAAATTATGTACAATTATAATATTAATACAATAATATGTACCATACTTCCAGTTATTCATAGCCTCGATGATGTAAATGATATTGCCTTTCTAAAGTAAACCTCTACACTGATAAATATAATTATGGAATCTATACAATATATTTGTGATACGGATTTTTTAATTAAAAATCTACATTTCTGTTACTATACAACTACAAAGACAGAGAAAGAATCAGGAAAACGTAATAATGTTTTTATTAATTAAATTTAATAATAATCGAATAAGAAATGAATAAACCAAATTACGGATATTTCTAAAGTTAGAAAAATTGAATAAAAGTTAAACATTTGCAAAAAAAGTAATAAGCAAACCACTGAGGAATTGTTTTGCGTATTAATTCAATACTCCAGTAAATGATAAACTTTCAATTGAAACTAACTTCTCAATTAAATTACATTGTGTTTACAAGAACTTCACCTCAGTCCCAACTTGTGACATCTAGTGAGTGAAAACTACTATCCTTCATTGGACGTAATTATGCAAAAAGGCTTCAACCTAACGAAAGCAATTTTTTATTACAGGAGAATTATGTTTTGTAACATTTTAAACATTTCACTTCTATGGAGTGTAACTTTTGTTGTAAATACTGAATGACCTTTTTACCGTCTGGAAAAAATACGGTTTAACATGTGAACGGAGTAGAAGCCTATGGCACTGATATTTTACAAAAAATTAATAAAAACAAAAATTTTTAATAAAACGTTTGAAAATATTTTTTTAACAATTACTTTGCCCTTGAGCCTGTGACACTGCGTAATGACAAGGTCAAAGATGCCTACTAAATTTATTGATTTATTGCCATTAGTAAAGTAGGGTGGTATGATTTGAATATTGATATAATTTAATTTATTTATTTTTTTTTGTAAAATATTAGCGCCATAGTTTTACTCCGTCCACATGTTACACCCTATTTTTTCCAGACGGAAAAAAGGGTCATCCCCAGTATATGTGCCATTTGAGAGTATGGCCGAGGTGCGACTGTGTGACCGTGTAAGAATGTTCACTACACCATATCATCCCGTGGATATCGTAAGAGAGGACAAAGGGGGAAAACCCAGTAGTGGCAGGATCGTCATTTTTATAACAAAAAAAAAAAAAAAATGCGGTAGCCAACCCTTCCGCTAAGCGTGGCAACTATGGCAGATATTCCCTTTACGAGGTAATCTTTAGCGAAGGCCTATGTTTAACGGTGGAATTTTGTTAGGCTGTAACGTAAACTCTAAGAATTATTTTGGTACATTAAAGTTAAAGCCTACATACGTCCCACCACATTTCTGAGGGGGTTTGTTAGAAAGGCGTCTACTTCAACAGTCATGTGACAGTATGGAAAAGATACACAATTTTCTCCACAAAACTAAGGGGTTTGTCGGAACCAGAGGTTAAGAAAATCTTGGACAAATTGACTGAACCGTCCGTAATTGGGGTGGCCAAACACTTACTAAGAACTTTTTTTTAAAACGTTACCCCTACACTAGGATCTTCTACTGTATCGTGGGGGCAGTTTACAAACATAAATTGCACAAGGACAAACATCCAGACCCGGAACAGTTATTTGTAGGTCATACAAATACTTGTTACGTGTGAGATTCGAAGCCGCGACCCTCAGCGCAGCCACTCATTGCCACGGAGTCATCAAAAGGTATAAAAAGTATAAAACTAACAAGGAGTTACCATTGTATCGCATCATGTATGATCTTGACCAACCTGTATACCGGAAGTGAAACAGCTATTTTACGCTAAAACGTTTACTGTTAACTAGGCACTAGATCGGGCAGTATATTACACAGGTCTGTCTAAAAGTGTGTTAAGTAAAATCAGGACAGATCCTGCAGACCTGCAAGGAAATCCGAAATCGTCATCTAAAAAACGGAAAAATTATCCGGGAAAGAAAGATTTAAATTTTGATGATTTTGATCGTCAAGTAATTCATCGCTGCATAGAAGACTTTTATTTGACCAAAATATAAGAAAGAGGGGAAGACCCCGCCAAAGATGGGAGGACGACCTGGTCAAATTCGCGGGTGTGACTTGGAGCCGGGTTGCCAAGGATAGAAACGAGTGGAAAAGGTTGGAGGAGGCCTTTGCCGATTGGCAATCAGCAGAAGACAATCTAGATTTTATATGACTTAGATATTAAGAAATTGTATTACGTACCGTTGAATAAATGGCTTTTAATAATTTGACCAAAAAGGTCGTCACAACTTTCAAAAAAAGTTTGTTAGCTTAACGGGATAAAATTGATTTTACTTGGGTTGTAAAGAGCCTAAAAAAGTTGTTGAAACAAATGATGTACAAGTGGCAGAAATGCCACAGCAAAAGGAGAATTTTTATTGTGTGGCCAAATGTTATTTTTACTCATCTATGCCATCAAAAACATAACTTGTAAAAAAACCAAGTCTCGCAACTCAGTTCTTCTACCATAAAAAGTTGTGAGATCCATGTAATACCAAGTCGGTTAATTTATTCAGTCCCTACTTAAGGGTCCTTCTGTTTTAAGTTATTACGTAATTAGCTAACCTAGCAACATTTTATGGTGACCATATCAATATTAAAAATCTTTTATGTTTTAAATATATAGATTGACTTGGCCATCGCATGAAAGCACAATTTATCTCACAAGTAATACATATTATATTAAATTAGATCGCTTAGTGCGATTGTATAGTAGATAGTGCTAGAAGTGCCTTAGAGTTTTAAAGTTCAGTCAGTCAGTGAGTGACAAAATTAAGAAACTTTGACTTGTTACAATTCTTAAACTACTGGTTCAAATTGAATGAAATTTGAAATATACCATGTTTATACAATGCCTACTTGGTTACTGAAAATTCATGCTTTTAGTTTTATCCACTACGAAGTTATATGGGGTTGAAAATGGCTTGAATTGCTTCGAGAAAAGTATGGTACGGCCTAGACGTGCGCGCCACGCCGGCGCCGCCGCCGCCGAGATATTCTCTCGGCGCGCCGAAGATGGCCGAAGCGCGGCCGAGCGTTTACGAACGTATGGCTGGCGGGAAGAGCGGGGCGCGGGGAGGGTAAAGAGGCGAACTTCTCTCCTCTCACCAGTGTTGCCATATGTACGGATTTGTCCGTACTCCGTATGCGTACGGAAATTGGGCATGCTGTACGGATAAAAGTTGCGTACGGATATGCGTACGGATTTCCTATCTACCGATAAGTTTCAATATTTTAGAAAGCTACACGCACGCTCAACCATTAATTCGTAATTAACAATAATAATTTATTATTTAATCTACATTATTTCACTAAGCACTATACCCCGTCCAGAATCAAGAGAGCATTTATGCCATACTAAATGGTGGTTTTCTTATAGTGAAAATTCTCTCTTGATTCTGGACGGGATATAAGTGCGAAGTTCATCTGCATTATTCTCCTATTGATGAAAACCTAATTAAATTACGAAACCAACTTTCAACTGAGACTATCGAAGTCTTCTTCATACAAAACAATTGATACACCGTGTTTTAAATTTGAAATTAGTGCAGAAAATATTAAAAAATTAATAAAGACGTACATAAACAAAAATGTTAGTATTTTTACTTTATTTCATACAGATTTCTTACAGAATTTTTAACTTTTTCCATGCGTACGGACTTTGTACGGATTTTTTTGTTAGATGTCCGGATTTTTAGTCTCGGCTGTATGGCAACACTGCCTCTCACCGTGTTGTCATTCGTTCGGTTCGGTCGCCCGTCGCCCGCGCCATTTTATCCTTGAATTGCTTTGACGGAGGCACGTAGGTTATAGTGCACATTTACGATGGCTTCAGCTTTGGCTACATTTAATAAAACAAAAGTGAAACACTTTTCGATATCAGTTTTATACGATGCGAAATTAAAATCAAGTTTTTGCTGGCGGCATTTCGGAGATTTGATTTTCGAGGAGAATAATCGAAAGAAAAAAGTGGCTACTGATCAAGTATTCTGTAACGCGTGCTTATCTTCTGTTCATTAAGAAAATGATGAAATTACATTTGGCGTGTAAGTACAGTACCGATATTTAAAGTACCTACCATTTTGTTCAGTTTATTTCGACAATAATGTACTATTACCTAATTTTTGAGGACATCGTCATCATGAGATGAGAACAAACGGAATTTTCATCCAGGAAACAATAGGTAAAATTCAATGAACATAGTGTTAGTGTGTTCAAATAATTAGCTACAATAAACATACTAATACTAATAACCTGCTAGCTTCATTAACTGTTTGTCATTTGCAGTCATCCTAAATCCTAACCTAACTAATGAATGTGATGTGTGTGTGGTGTGTGCCTGGCCTGTGCATGATGCTGCGCGATATGATGCTTTTAAATGTTTTCTTGTTAGTCAAAAGTTGTTCAGTATCTACAGTACTGAGCCAAGCTTGACTGGTGGGTGTGGTGTGGTGATGAGCTTGGTTTAAAGTGTACATAGCTACCTAACCTAATGTAGGTAACGCGTGTGTAATGCGGTGAGATATTGAGCATTAAATGTTTTCTAATTTAAAGATGTTTACGGCTTGACTGATGGTGAATGAGTTTGTTTCAATCAAAGTGTTCATTTTGCATGTGGTTTTCCATATCTATGTTGTTTGTTTTCCAGAACTAAAATAAAATCATACGCCAAAACTGTGAGCACAGGAAATCTAAGCAGACATTTGCGAGATTCTCATGATATTCGAGAGGATAGCTCTAAAATAGCTTCAAAAAATATCACACAGTTTTTTAACTTACAACCGCGACCAAAGGCAACTACAAGTAGAAGTAGTACATCAAAAGCAAAAAAGACGAATGCATGGTTACTTGCTCGAGATATGGTTCTCTGGTTTTGTAAGTCTCTGATGCCGTTCGATTCGATATCTGATCAAGCTATGAAGGATTTTTTTCAAGTAAGTTTACGTTTAAATTATTAACCTGTCCTGTTACCCTCGAAAGGGGGACGCCCACAGTGGGCATCCCCCTTTAAACCGTTGTTTGGTGGCACAGTAGTGCCTCTGGGCCAAGTCGAATCTCGATTGGGCAAAGACTTAAGACGACTACATGATTTTGTTTATCAAGTTATAATTATCATTTCAGAAATATGACATCATTGAGTCTGATGCAGACATGCCTTATAGAGACACGGTGTCTCGCACTGCTCTTGATGACGTTTATGAAAGCATGCTGAATGATGTCAAATCTCAAATACGAGCAGATGCGCCTCGACATGCAGCTATCACATTTGATCTATGGTCTGATCAATATCGACACCTGAACTACATAACATTTACATTTCACTACTTAACAGCTGGTAAGTCATAATCATAATACTTCATTATTTATTTATTTAATTTTCTATCTATCTATGCTAGATAGCTTGCCTCGTCTTTATTGCGAATCCAGTTTTATGTTCACGTAGTTTTTGTTATTATTTCACAATGAATTAATATTGAGCACATTCAAGATCAAACGATCAAGAGGTGTTATTAATGAAATATGTCAATATTTAAAGATAGCTAGATACTGTTTTTCTTTGTTAATAATAAATATTAATACATAATTATAATTCTGTTACAGATTTAAAGCTCAAGTTTTTTACTTTGTGCACTAAACTCATCGAGGGCAAAAAAATCCGGAGAAAAAATAAATGGGATGTTGAACGACGCAAAAGAGTGCTTTGGACTTCAAGGAATAGAGCTCCACCCTGTGACTGTTTCTGGATCAAATGTCCAACGAGCGATTCGACTTGCGGATCTAGACTCCCATTTGTGCTTAGGCCATTGTTTACATAACCTGGTGACTGTAGATGGAATTGACAGTGTACCCGAATTATCATCATTGGTCAAAAAATGCAAAAAGATAGTCAAGACGGTTCGCTATCGTTTACCAGAGTTAGAACGTTCTGCAAAAGAAGAACAACTAAAAGTTTTACAATCTATGGAAGAAGTATCAAACCATTTAGAAATGGATGAAAATCAGCCAATTGTTAATGAAGAGCCCGAACCATATTTGGTTTCCGAATCGCAAACCATCAGCGATGAATTCGGTAACATAAATCATATGCCGACTATCAAAACTTCTTTGCCAACTCGTTGGCATAGTGTGCTAGCTATGCTGGAAAGTCTGGCACATTTTTGTAACAGAGAACCAGTTAATAACATGTTGTCAGAGATAGGAGAGAGTGATCTAAAAATTTGTCAAAGGGAGTGGAACCTATTAGAAGATCTTGTCAGATTTCTACGCAAATTCCGTGAAGTCGTAGAAATGTTATCAACACAGAAGGCAGCTTCACTGAATTTAGCACTGGTGTTTAATTTGGAAATCAGGGATATCCTTCATTCAGTGACAGATGAAGAAACGCTTGTAATGGTTTAGCTCAAGAACAAAATGCTGGCAAAGTTAGAAAAAAGATTCCCAATCACTGAGAAAGTTGTAGTTGCGGCGCTGTTGGATCCTCGGTTTATAAGCCTGACTCAAATAGATACGTACTTGGAACAAAAGAATAGTACACGTGCTGCATTGCTCGCTAAGTACGTAATAAAAGATATTGACGTTTCAAGAGTATCCGCGACCGTGGTTGCTGCTGCTAATGCCGGTTCTAGATAATTGATAGAATCAGGCGTTACTTTGCGGAAATCCATTATAATAAAAAATAAAAATATAAATTTCTTGAAAAAGAAATTTCTTGAACAAACAAATGTTTCTAATTCACCTTTGTTAAACATCTTTAAGGCCAATCTTTAATAATAATTTTAAGATTAATAATAATAAATAATTATAATAATATCAATAAAACAATAATAATAATAGTATTTAAAATATTAATCATAACAATAATAATAATTAGTAGCAGATTTATTATCGCACGGCGCGGTCACTCAAAACAATAATAATAATAGTATTTAAAAATAATCATAACAATAATAATAACTGTTGGCAGGTTTGTTATCACACGACGCGGTCACTCGCTACTTTGGTAGGGGCGATTGTGTCAGCGTGTATAAATAGCAACTGTTTCGACTCGCCGCTCACTTAGCGGTCAGCCGCCGTAGAGTCTATATTACCTGAGGATGCCTCGTGTAGAGGCGAAACACGTGTCGTATTATCGTCGATGGTGTGTCTTGCCTGGAATAGTGGTGTTGAGAGTAGTGATGCTTGGTCTAGTGGTGACGGAGTTAGTGTATGCAATTGAGGGAGGGCGGGAGGTGCGCTTCAATCCAGGTAAGACACGTCATTTTATATGTTTAGCGGAAAGTTGCAAAGAAATTTATATTTTTATTTTTTATTATAATGCCAGTTCTAGCTCTGCCGATGATTCTTTATTGGCAAAGTGAACACGCAAACACAGCAGTAGCACCACATCCAGCGTAAACGTAAATCTTGAATGTAGCGAAGCTGATCAGCTACTGCAAGCGATGTCGTAAATGAAGACATTTTACATTTTACGTTACAGTTTACGTGGTAGAGCCATGCTGCAATTATATTAGTAGTATAGTTGTAGCACGAATGGGTCGGCTCGACCGGGGAAGGACCACGCTCTCACAGAATACCAGCGTGAAATAGTAGCTTAATGCTGCTGTGTTTCGTATGGTGAGTGTAGAGAACCGGAGACCCTTTTTACTGGAAACGAGGCATTCCATCTCAGTCCTCACGGGTGACAACGCATCTGCATTTTGATTTGTAATGGAAGATAGATGTAGATGTCTATGGGCCGCAGCAACCACTTACCATCAGGTGGACTGTGTGCTCGTTTGTCACCCTATCCTATATAAAAAAAAAAAAAAAAACAATACTGGAGGGGGGAAAAAAGAAGCTTTTCCTCTTCTAACTGGACTTGCAAGGGCTATTCTCGCAATTCCAGCTACCAGCACACCCAGTGAGAGGGTGTTTTCTATTGCTGGCCTTACCGTAACTGCGAAAAGATCGCGACTTAGCCCAGGACGCGTGAATAAAATTATTTTTGTTCATAACAATTACGATTTGTGTAAAGATAAAGAACACACACAGTAATAAATGCCTAATAAAAGTTTTCATTCAGTCATACGCAATTATTTTTCTTTAATTTAGTTACTCAAAATATTCGTACTCAAACCTACCTACCTACAGTACCTACTGCTGGAACTGGATAGCTCCTAGATTTTTATTAAAAAAAATACCTACGCTGGCGCGGCGCCGCCTCGCCGACCCTGATAGGCTCTGTTCCCGGCGCGCCGCCGCCGGGTGGGCGGCGTCTGTACGGCCGTGCCGCATTTTTGCTCCACTTGGCGGGGGCACTACCGTGCCCCCAGATTTATTTAGAAAAATACGTGAATTTAGCGTTATTTATTTTATTCAGCGCGTGTGAACGATACGCACGCCCGCCCCGCGACCCGCTTACTACCCCATGATACATTATTTTTAACTTATGCGCAGTAACGGTCACCGCTAGACTTTCGTGCCGCTACCTATACCTATACTTGGTTTTAGAGTGTAGTAGATTTCGTGCCGCTACCTATACCTACACTTGGAATTTTTTCGAATGTCACTTGGAATTTTTACTTTAAGTACCGATTCTGTTTCCCTGATTTTTTGAATCATGAAGGAGTTTTACATATATAGATTGCACCCACGCGACTTAGTTTTTAACTAACTAGAAGTATCCCACGTATGGAGTGTAAAAGTAAGGAATACCACCTCCCATAGTAGAATAGTTGAAAAAGTGGTCATCTGTAAGTAGTAGATAACAGTTCAAAAACTCTCCACAACAGCGCTGGAGCAGCTACTGGGATGAAATGAAATTAGCAGTTGTCGACGGTTGAAGTGTGCTGCTAAACTACTCAGTAGCTCTAAAACCTAAAATAATTTTATTTAGTAAATATAACCTCGAAGAAGTCGTCTATCCCTCTTATATTTTTCGGCGCGTTCTTTAAAATTTAGCCCGTAGCTATAGTGGCGCCACCCTTATTTAACGGTTTTCTACGGACACTTTTAATGCACAGTCTGTACTCCTTATTTCTACACTTCATAATCCCACGCGCGACTGGGCTTGCGCTTATTATAAGGTAAAAAGCCCCAGCGTGAAGTACCGCCGCACCTTTGCAAGGACACCTAGTTTCCTCGCGCCTGTACTCAATGAACCGCCCATAGTCGAGGTTCAGAGAAATCTCAACCTCTAACAACTGAAGGAGGTCAGTGTACTTCAAGAATACATTCCGGAAAGTAGGAGCCAGGGTGAGCGGGCTCCTTATAGCGGTGAAGACACGCTTGTGTCTATGAAGCGTTGAATCTCACGAGATTGGCATCGCCCCATTAGGAGACTGCCTGCAGTGTGATACGCACGCTCAACCATAGCTTCTCTTTCGGACTGGATTTTATCCCGACTGGCCCGAGCATTTGGCTGACACCTCTCCACAACTGTGTTGTCCGCATACCGCATACATAGATACCGGTAGTACCGTTAGTTTTATTATTTAGCTGTTCCCCACGACTTCGTGCGCGTGGAATTTATTAATATTGAATTTGATTGGTTTTAATATTTATGGCGCGGAACCCTAAATATTTTTCTAAAATAAAAGTAGCCTTAGTCAATCCATATACCATCAGCTATCTGCCAGGGAAAGTCCCTTCAAAATCGGTCCAACTAGTTCAGAAATTAGCCGAAACAAACATACAGACAGACAAAACTGTAAATTGTTATATAAGTACCTTATGTGTTTTCATATGTATTTAGTAAAAACCTTCTATTTTAACATTACATACTGGTCTGGTACAACATGGTCATATTTACGAAGCTCAAATATAAACCGTATACAGAGATTTTGGGGTTTCTAAAGTTCGTTCAGTTGCTCCTCGATGATATTAAGGTAACAAATGTCAGCATAGTCGAGGATAGGGAGTAGTAAAGATTGTGCAAGTGCAATTTTAGCGGAAATGGGTAAAAAGTGGTTAAGTCTTCGGGGTGAAGCATATGCTGCAATATTTACGGCTCACTGCTGCTTACTTTATCGGGTCCAAGAAAGACCAGGAAAACAGGAACCCAAAAGGAACTCTTGTTATTTATTTGTATAGATGTATCGATTATCACGTAAAAAACATAACGTCAATAAAAATAACCTTAGTCTATTTAAGTCCCACTGCTGGGCACTGACCTATTCTCACTTCTGAGAGGTTTCAAATCAAAGAAATGTCCGCCACGCTTCTCGTCTGTTATCTGCCTTCACATGATTTCGAAATATTTTTTTAATTTCTCATACATACAGGTTCCCTCGCGATGCTTTCCTTCACCGTCGAGCATGTGGTAAATGCAAACGAGGAAACGTCAATAATATCAAATAATCTATAGGAAACCAATTCACAGCAATAAGTGTCTGAGAAACAGAATCGTATAAGCAATATCTTTAGTTTACGTATAACATTAAAATATGAATGAACAAGTGAGATAAAGAAATCGTTTATCTCTTTCTGGACTTGCTTTTTTTATTTAACTGGCTTTACGGCTTTGGGTACTAGCCTTTCTGAGCCTATCATTTCTTTCAGGATCTTCATTTTATATATTTTTTCTCCACAATATGCCGATGCGTCACATTGCGAAGTTCTTGGGAGATTGTAGTGTATGTGCCTCCACCCTACTAGCATATGTTAATAAATGTACTTACTCTTAGGTTTAAGTGACAGTATAATTAAAGTCTTGAGTAGAGAAACACGTCTTCCTTTCATTTACTAACCGTTCAACATTACATGGCAACCCTGCCAGGAATAAAATATTTGATAATAAAGTATATTGTGAATAATCTGATAACTAATTTCAACTTAATTATATGTAAAATACAGAATATTTAATATCTAACTTTAAAAACATAATAGCAAAAAAAAACCAATCTTAAATTGTTAAATAAAGTTTGAAATAGAATAAAAATCACATAAGTGCGAAGTTACCTCATAATTTGTTATTTTCGGCTCAATTTTTCTATCTTCTTATCGGTTAAGGCTTGCAGGAAGTTTCTTCTATTTTTCTTAAATTTGTGGTCTCACCATCTAATTCGTTTAATCTTCATGTAATATTTGAAGCTGTCATAATATTTGTTTCTGAAGTTGATCGTTCCCGTTTTTTTTTCGTAACATTTTTCTTCTTTTTCTAATAGGTTTTATTAGCATATCTCCTTAAAGAAATAATAACCTTGTCGCCTCTTCTTATGTCTCCGTTTCGGCTTACTTGTCACATCCGTTAGTGTCAATTCAATAGTTGAAAATTGTTCCTTTAGTTTTATATTTATTTTTCCATGTTTCTTTAACTATTTGTGCAGGCCGCGGCGGTGCGCGTGCCTTGTCGCCGCGCACCGCCTGGCAGGGTCGCCATGTAATGTTAACGGTTAGTAAATGAAAGGAAGACGTGTTTC